GCTGTGCTCGCCAAAGGGGGCCCTGAAAGGCTCCCCGCCTTCATCCGCCCCCCACACACCACAAACACTTGCATGAACACCAAACAAACCGAAAGCCAGACAGAGATTTCTTTGTAAAGACAGGGCCAGTCTCTGCGTCTGTCCTTGCTGAGTGATGACTGCAGGACTTTCCTCCTTCCTTAGAAGACAGTAACAGACCAATCACCTCCTTCTTCCAACAGCTCTGAGAGACCTGTTCTCTTGACTTTCATATTCTTCCAGATGATCCAAGTGTCTGAAATGATCCCCTCTGTCATAATCTGTCCCTAACTCTTTATTTTTCTTTCTAAAATCATCATATTGGCCTCCTCTCACCCCTGGTGTTGTATCACATATCGATTTGTTTACTACCTGTCTTTCTAGAATATTAGCTCCTCAGAGACTCCTTGTCCCTTGAGGACAGAGACTTTTTTTTTCTTTCAATTTTTTCACTACTGTGCCTCTAGCATTTTGAATATGCCTGCCATGTCATTGGTCCTCAATAAATATTTGTTGAGGGAAGGAAGGAATGAATAAATAGATCTTTAGAGAAAAAAGGGTAAGAAAGTTATCTCAGACTTTAGGGCGCTGAGCCCATAACATGGTCAGAAATGAACAGCTTTGCGATTCTGCTAACAGAGATGCACCCAGAGGAGACAGCCATGTCAATCCCTGGAGACTTTCATGAGTGAGGCCGTCACCGAACATTCCTCAAGCGTGTGACTGTCTTGCCAGCTACTTCCGGAAAGGCATGGAATTAAAGGCCAGAATGCACCAAGTCACACTGGCTGCCTGATCCATAATGATAATCGTAGTGAGGGAAGCTGTCCTTTACTGAAGATGTCCTTCACTGGTCAGGCCGGCTGCGTCCTGGGAAGGTTGGGGCCAGGGGGCTAGAGTCAGACAGCAGGGCTCTCATTCCTGGCCGCACAGCTTACCCATCTCCTGACACCTCAGTTTTCCCATCTGTAAGATGCAGCCAATAACAGTGCTTACACTTCAGGGTCCTTGGCAGACTGGAGGAGCGGACCCGTGAAGCAAGTGTGTAGTCATGGTGGTTACTCTTCCTCTGTGGCTCTCTTCATGATCACACTGGCGTCCCCCAGGAGGCCTTTCCTTTTTGACCACCCTCCTCAATTATGACAGCCCATCTCTTGAGCTCCTGGGTGCGAATGGCACTGTACCAGTTGGCTTCAGAAGAGTGCCATGATCCTCTGTTTGCGTTTTCTCATCTGATAAGAGACTTCTCCCGTGTAGTGCTCTGTCTTTCTCTGTTCCCCTGAGCCGCTCTGCACAGAGGAGAGGCTGATCAAGAAGGAACTCAAGAGGACACTCCTGAGTTTTCCCCTTCCTTCCAGAGCTGACCTAACCCTCTGTGCCTAACCCTACTGTCTCACTGCCCTCAGCCGACGTGGGCTTTAAGTGCCCCATGCCCCTGCCTTACCTTCCTGCAGCACTGGTCACAAGTGAACTGCACTTGCCTGTTCAAAAGTCTATTTCAGTCCCAGTTAAGGGCATGAGACAAAGCCTAGTGTCGAGACCCGACATTCACAGAAGACCTGCAGCGTGGAACAACTGTGCTTCGGGAGACGAGCCTAGAGAGGTGAGCGAGGGTCAGGTTTAGTGTCCATGTGAAGAGTCTGGGCTCAACCACAAGAGCAGAATGGAGTCACTTAAAGGCAGGAAAGCTGGGGTTTCTCATTCCCTGCAAGACTGTCCCCTGACGCTTAGTATCCTACTGCATTCAGTTCGATGTTTTGCTACTCAGAATAAAACCAGATGGCATATTAGTTGACCTATGTTGCAAAATAAAATCTCAAGTCTTCAAGTCATCAGACTAAGTTAAGCTTCATATTCCACATTTCCTTTTTTGAAACGAGACTGTCAATGAAAAATAGTAATTACATACATTGTATTTCAGGTTACAGTAAAGAAGGCTTAAGCTTAAGGAAAGCTTTTTTATATCCTGTCCTCTTTCTTAGATCTTCAAAATTAAAGCCTAACAGCCACTGGAAGGAATTATTATCCATTTTATTTTTAAGGTAAGAAACGTGTCTGCATATGCACATTTTTAAAAAGTAAAGAAAAAGAAGGCTATAAACTTCCTGAGGGCAAAACCTGTCCTTCTACCTGTGTATCTACAACAGCTGGGAGGGAAGGCATTTATCTGCAGGATTTATGTTGTTTCCAGGGGATTCCTGAAATATAGAAGAAAAGTCTCTGAAATTAAGACTAGGCTAAGAATCTGTCTTTGATGTTTTTAAGATACATCCCCCTCAAAAAACAAAACAAAACAAAAACCCAAAAAACCCTAAACCAAAAACCAATGCTTTCAAAAGAAGGTTAATGAAAGGGCTTATAAAGGTGAGTTCACACACTAAAACAACTGAAGGGCTTTCACTTGGACCAAAGTGAGCACAGATAAATAGCTTGGGTTTCTGCAGCCTGAGCGGAGATGGGAGAAACAGGACTGTGGGCTTAAGATCAAACAAAATGAGAACTGGGATGGCCTCTTTCCGGTCCCCCAAAAGCCGTCTGTTCTTATCCTAGAGGTTATGAAAGGTCTTTTGAGACTAGCTGAGCAAATGAGATCCTGTTCCTTCCTTGGGAAAACTTGTTTATACTGTATCCGTTTTTAGACCTTGTAAAAGTTGGTGAACTCAGTTCTTCCCATTAGCCCGACTTCTTCCACACTCAGCAAATATCAACAGGAAAGGGTTTCAGTCATCGATAACAATGAAAGCAGGGATCTCACATAGGGCCTTAATAAGCTGGCTGCACTGACAGAGGGAAAGCAGAGAAACAATCTCCAGCTCATGTTTATAGAATAACGGGTTTGAAAGGATAGAAAAGATACCGAAATCTAGGTAAATTTATTCTGACAGTGACAACAGCATCGTCTCTTACACAACTCATACCGGTCTAAGGATTCATTTTGGAACTGTCAAAGCTTTCAAGCAGAAAATTATTCTCAGTGGCTGAAACTTGGTTAAACAAATTTCACTGTGCAAGGAAAAACCAAGTTAGTGTTGGATGTGCTGTCGGGGAAGAAAGTCGGGCAAGACAGCCAGACAGGAAGTGCTATCCCCATGCAGGAACCCAGGCAAATAGGTGATGCGGCAGTAAGATTTCCAGTGGAAAGGGGTGACCTGGACCCATCCTGGAGAGTCAGCTAAGGAAGTTCTAAACAGGATGAAGATTCAGAGCCAGCGTGGTGCCAACCAGATCCACCATGTTTTACCCATGGGTAGGTAGTGTGGTCCAGTCACCAAGGCTGTGGCGATCTGAACAACAAAATAAATATTGGTGATATTGGATACCCATAGAATAAAATAAATATTCACAGCTCCATACTGATATAAATGCATAATGAAAAGAATAAATACTGGGGGTGGTCAGAGAAAGGACAGATCTCCCTTACAGCAGAAGACCTACTAATACATGTAGAAAGGATAAGACAACAGAAAATCACTGATAGGCAAACATTACAATAACAATTGTTGCCAACAAGGATGACTGATGGATCCTAAAGTCAGCCGGTAAAGTTATGATAAGAAACAGGTCTAGTATCCTGATGAAACAGGTGTTTAGTATCTTTAGAAACAGGCCAAGGTATCTTCTTATAAGATATGTTTTAATCACAAATGGAAAAAGCAGTATCTTTACAGGGGAGAAACCTGGCAGATACCACCCCAACCCAGGGACCAAACAACAGACACCCCGACATCTTGTTCCCCTTCCATGAGCCTCCAAGGAGGGCAGAGCATCATTGCTGTGTACTTCTTGCCCCAAATGCACGATCTCAATCTAACCATGAGAAAACATCAGAGAAACCCAAAGTGAGAGACCGTCTATGAAATAACTAGTCTAACTTCTTCCTCAGTGTCCAGGTCATGAAAGACAGACAGACTGAGGAACTGTCATAAGTTGAAGGAGACTAAGGAGGCATGGATGTTAACTGGAATACAGGATCCTGGACTGGATTTTGCTCCAGAAAAGGACATTACTGGGAACTCGGAAACATGAATAATTTGTACGGACTAATTAAGAGTATTGTGCCAATGTGAATGACCTGTCTTCAGTAGCTGTGCTGTGTGGTTTAGGTAAGGCGTTAATGGTAGGGGAAGCTGGGCGAAGACTATATGGGAACTCCCTATACTATTTTTGCAACTGTTCTGTAAGTCTAAAAATACTACAAAACAAAGAGTTAAAAATAAAACTGGAGTTGGCTTGGCTTGACTTAGCAGCCAGCCAGGACCAAGCTGAGATGCATAAATTTCTAAGGTAAGAGTGAAGACCGTCATGGAAACTAGTGAGAAGAATGGGAAAAGGATAAAAATGTAGACCTGAGCCATTCTCATGTCCACAGAAATCAGGGACAATGCTGTCTAAAACAATGGCATCCCTCCTATGTCCCTGAAGAATACCGTGGCATTCCTTAATAACCTCTCTACTAGATTTTTATAAAGTTTAACAAATATATCAAATCATTCTGCTTGTTTTGCCCAACAAAGGAAAGTCATCTCCATAAAAATAAATTTTGAGCCAAATCCACCACCTGGACCTTATAATTCTTAAGGTTTAAAAACCTTAAAATAGAAAACCAAACAAAAATCAGATATTTTCCTGAATAATATTTTCCATTTGATAAACAGAACTCATTCCTATAAATTGTATCAGTGTTCAAGTCTTCCCAGATATTTAAATATCTGTGGCGAGATGTGTCAAGAGAAGAGTAATCATACTTCAAAAAGGGGGATAAAAAGCTTTATGCTCTGAACATGGCTTTCAGCTTAAAAAATTAGGCTTTTATTTAGCACAATTCCCAATTATTCTGGAATGGCTGTGTACTAACAGATCTCAGCTAGCTCTCACTGTGGAGTTAACTCTGTTGTAGCCCTGGAATTATGCTTGAAGCAAACAACATGACATCATTTTGAAGACGCGTCAACCCCTGCACCATGACGGTGGTCCATACGTACCTCCCACTGCATTACAGCGAGATGTCATCTCCCAGAGTACCAGAGCCATGGAGTAGACATCCGTCTGCTTGAAGGATTCAACATTCTCCAAATTCATCCTGGACTCTAGGACTTCTGGAGCCATGTATCTTGCGGTTCCCACCTAAAGCAATAATAGACTTTGAGACCCATCATGTAATTCCCGGCTGCATCTTTATTTTAAAAATATAACTGATGTTTGTCCTCGACACATGCAGATGATCTTTGAAAAGCACAGTGCTCTTTTAAATCATGAGACTGGCAAAGAAAGGTACAGCTTATGAAATTACTTTTAAAAATAGGTTTTCTCTCCCTGAAAACACTTAAAAAAATATAAACAAAGCATACCAATAGAAGGAAATGCCAAACCCCAGAGCTGCTTTATCTAGCTTCATGATATATGTCATTGTATTCTACAATAACATCCTCACCGATAACCGGGGAGATAACATCTGTGATACTTTAGATCTTTATTTTTGCTTTTGCAAATTGACTATTTTCTCATTCCCGAAACACCAAGATTAATGGGGAAAATAAGAATCATTGCCATTAGTTTCGGTCACTTAAGGACTGTCTCAACTTCTTTGTTTACTCCATGGTACTGTTCTAGTGTGCCAAGAATGTAGTATAATTTCATAAAATCTCTAGTAAACTAAACTGCATGAAAGTATTTCTACAGTAAAAGACCAAATCTATATCATTTTATAATTTAGCCATGTAGGACTGATAACACGAAAACACTGGTATACATAGGAAAAAAGAAGAAAGATATTTCTAGGGAAGGGATCACTTAAACGTTTGATTTTGTAGCATGTATAGCTTCACTAAATAACAGTGAAGTCCTACACTTTCAAGAAGCTAAGGAAAGTCAGGTGAGTTGATATTATTGTCCCAAGGAATGTTTCTTAATGGTATGTATCAGAAGAAATTTTTCTTCTTACTAGGTCGCTGCATGACTCATTACCCTGTCAGATTAATCTGTCCATGTTTCACTCGATATGTTTATCTGAACATTGGCTGTGCAGCCATAGACCCAAGAGAGCAGACCGAGCAGTAACCAAATGCTTCAGAAGCACATACCCCCACCTGCTTAGAGGAAACAATGGTGCTTTGCAGACTCGACTGTAACCCATATCAAGCTTTCAGTGTGTGAAAACATGGGGCACCATTATTCATAAAGGATGGCTTGGTAATTTCTAGTGACCTTCCAATATCTCCTTACCCAAAAAGGTTTCTATTTTTATCTGTGAGATGCTTCAAAGGAACTGGAGAATTGTATATCTACTCAGTCTGTCATCTCACTCAAGTATTTATTGGTCACTTTCGCTGTTCAAGTGTTAGATGTGAGCAAAAATGGAAGTGGATTTGGGCTACAAGGAGACCGCCTTCTAGAAAGGTAAAAAGAAAACAAGGTAGCCACCAATAGTTCAGAGTAGGAAGGGCTGAGTAGAAGCATAAGAGAGGAAAAAGAGACAAAGCACGGGTGGTGTTGGAAGCAATGAAAAGTAATTTACAAATGGGAGAGAAATGAAGACCAACTGAAGGAGAAGAACGTCTATCCTGGATTAGATGGGCTTGGCAGAAACCGGAGGAGAAATGTTGTTCATTAGAAAAGCACGCTGGCAGGAGAGAGTGGGGCATGCCCAGGGGCAACTCCTCAGTTCGGCTAGATTCCCTAGACAGGTGTCCAGAGCATAGGGCTGTTTGAGACAAAAGACATAAGAGATGGATGGAGAGGTGGCTTGGGCCCGCTACAAGTAAGGGGACCCAGGTCTAACTTACCTGCCCACTGTTAGCCAGGTCATCCACAGACAGAGTTGGGTCGAGGCGCAGGGAAAGCCCAAAGTCACACAGGCAGCAGGTCAGGTCGTTCTTCACGAGGATATTGGAACTCTTGAGGTCCCTGTGCACGATGGGCATCTTGGGCCTCCCGCACAGGGTGTGGTCGCTGTGCAGGTGAGCAATGCCCCGGGCGAGGGAGCTGCCCAGCTTGCGCAGGTCCTCCCAGCTGATGACGTGCCGCGTGAGGTATTCCTGTAGGTTGCCCTTGGCATGGAAGGCAGTGATCAGCCAATACTGCTTCCCCAGCTCCGTCTTCCGCTCCTCGGCCGTCAGGAATTGCAGGATGTTCTCATGCTTCAGGTTGATGTCTGAGAAGATGTCCTTCTCCGTCTTCCAGGAGGCATACTCCTCGTAAGGGAAGATCTTGACCGCCACAGTCTCGAACTGCTCTGAAGTGTTCTGCTTCAGCTTGGCCTTGTAGACCTCGGCGAAGCGACCTTTCCCCACCAGGGTGTCCAGCTCAATGGGCAGCAGCTCTGTGTTGTGGTTGATGTTGTTGGCACAGGTAGAGCTGATGTCGGAGCGGTCATCTTCCAGAATGATTGCCAGGTGCTCGCTGAACTCCATGAGCTTCCGCGGCTTGCTGGTCTCCCAGGACGGGCTCAGCTTCTGCTGCCGGTGAACGCGGTAGCAGTAGAAGGTGATGATGACGGCTATGGCGATTCCCAGGGGTGGCAGGAGGCTGACGCCTGTCACTTGGAATATGACTAACAACAGGTCAGGGTTGTTGGTGGCATATTCTGATGTGGAAACAAAAGGAGGGAGAGAAGAAGTTGGGTTTGGTGGGTATGCACAGTCAGAGAGTGGGTCCACACCTCAGGCATCTCGAAGTTTTAACATCTGCATAATTTTTGTGGATAATAAATTGTGACTTTTTATTCCAGGGATGGATGCACCCGTCCAGACTTCCTTGCCCCTGGCCACCTAGTCAAGGTCTCCTATTCTTCCCTCAAACTTCAGCTTCAATGTCACTCTCTAAAGGAGATCTAGGAAAATGTGGGGAAGTGTTTTATTTTAGATATTCTCATCGCACTCTACATTTTTCCTATGTGACAACTTGGCACAATTGGAATTAAATCACTATGACTCCAGTTATGGGTTTCACATCTGCCTTTCCCTACTTTCCCCACCCTCAGTGGACTGACAACTCCACGCTGCCAGGGGCCATGTCTTTCTTCTTCACCACCAGAAACAGTGCTGAGCACACATCAGGTCCTCAGTAAGTGTTGGATAAATGGACAAAGCATTCACGGAGTGTAAACCAAGGCATTACAGGAGGCTCTGGGAATAAAGAAAGAATGGTAGCTCCTGCCTCCAAAAAGCTTACGTAGATGGTATTGGGTAAAAATGAAGACACTCTCACCGTTCTACCATTGTCTTTATTCTTTCCTAAACTCCAGCTTGTCCTGTTCTGACCAACCTCCAGGCCACCCTTAAACATAGGCGATGGGAAGAGGAGTCTGTGAAAAAGGGTCTTTGGAATCAGTCACCTTATATCCACCCAATATTCCTCTTTTCAGTGTGCATGTGGTGTGTAGTTTCATAGAACAGGAAATCTTACTAGCAACAGTGGAAATATTGCTACAAAGGTGAGAGGAGTAAAAAGAAGGAAATGCAGGCAGTTTTCTAATTTGGACCACTGAAGCAGGCCCTGTGGGGTGATGGAGGACAGTCCTTAGCACCAGCTATCTGACCACATATAATGTCGTGTATGTCAAACTTTGCTTCATGTGCTGGCCTTGGCTGGCTCCGGTTAAATAGTTTTCCTTCTGGGAAGAAAAACATGGATGGAAACAGTCAGCGGCAGGAGATAGTGAAAGGCAGTTATGGTTCGGTAAGAGCTTTGTGCTAGCCTGTCTCCACTGGGCAAGAATGCCAGAATGCTACTGCTTTTATATGTCATTCATTTTCCCTCAAAGTTATCTATTAACAAGCAGTCCTCATGATCAGATGCTAGATTTGCTCACTAAACATAGCACGGCTGGGTGCCTACTATGGTATGGATGGGCCTGCCCTCAAAGGGATTATAACCCAAGGAGAGGGTTAGGACACGTACACAGTATATGCATAGTAACATATGGCAATCTGGGACAGGCGCTGAATGTGTGCTGCAGTCTATACGCATTGGTGGAATGTAGAAAAGCTTAGAGAAACAGGGAACCACGGTGACAAGGACTATGTTTTAGTTGGTCAATGGAAGATGGGAAAAGGTCAATGACGGCTAGAAGGACTGTTACACTAAAAACTACGAATATATGATCTATTTGAGGAAGAGCACTTTTCCCAAACTGCCAAGTCCACATAAGGGAACAGAAAGGAAAAGGGTTGGGTGGGTGACATGGACGTGGACATCATGTCAGAGAAAGTATCTATAATTGTTCAACTGGCAGTTTTCACCTACTGTAGGTGTTTGATGAGAATACAGCAATAAGAATATAGTCCAGGTGCAAGGGGGAGAACCATAACCTCTTGAAGAGAACCCATTACCTCGATCGTATTTGATATCATCCCTTAACAAAGCACAGTGAGAGATGACGCTCGTGCTGTGCCAGTTTGGGGCGTTTGGGTTTTTATTTTGAGGGGGTATTCAGGTTTAACATGACGTACTGCCTGGTCCTAAGGTCAGTTCTAAGTGGAAATGCCAACTTCTACTGCCTATGCTTCTAGATGGAAACCTTAGCTCTTAAGTCGATTTGATGGCACTAAAAAACTGGAAAAGTAACCCCAAAACATCTGAATTTCAGCAACCAAGAGGAAAAACAGTCACTATTTTGGGGAAAGATCTATTAGTGCATTAAAAAGAATAGGAAAGGGGAAACAATATGGTAACTGACTCTTGAAAACCCAAATTCTTGCTCACATTGGGAGGCATGAACGGGACAAAGGACAGGTGGTGAGAGTGGTGACAATGGGATAAGGCAATGACAGAGGACACTGGGACTGCAAAAGTAAAAAGAGTTCGTGTAGACAAGTATGGACTGTCCCCATCGTTCAGCAAAGTACGAGCCTGGAGAACAAGGTTAAGGGGGCAGATGAAGGAGCTGTCACAGCAGGAAACAACGTTCCTTCCCAGTAACCCCGCCTCTATTATCTGAAGGATCTCATGAATGTGTCTGCTTCAAGCACCCACTTGTCTGTAACCACACAAGATGCCTTATAATCATAAATCAGTTTGATTCCCATGTTGCTTATTTTCCCCAAGAGAAAGTGAACTGTCCAGGGTAAATCTACACATACTGATCACCACGCTATACCCAGCGCCTGGCCTAGGATGGGGTACCTACAGTACTCAGCAAATGTTGGTCACAGAAGCTGAATGGATGATGACGTACCCGCACATGTTTTTCTGTTCTACAGCAAGATTGGCAAGCCATGGCCACAGGGACTATTCTGTACAGTCCCACACGCTACAAATGTTTGTTTGTGTTTTAAAGAGTTGTTTAGAAAAAGAAAGAAACTAAGAAGTTCATGCAGCAGAGATAATATCTGGCCCAGAAAGCCTAAAATATTTACTACCTGGTCCTTCATAGACAAAGTTTGTTGGCCCCTCTCGTATAGATGTTATTTGTTTTAACAACCTCTAAGGCATTAGCAGAGTGTGGGGAGGCTTCACTTTGGTCCAATTGTGAATTTTCTCTTTCACACATGGGGCAACAACACAACTAGAAAATAAAAAAAAATATATTAATTGCATAATTACTTGGCTGTGTCTTCAATGGGTTAAAGAGTGCAAAATGTTCAGATGAACTGTTCACTTATCGCTGATAATTTTATTTTGTAATTCCTGGCCACAGATGAAAAGGGTCTTCCTCGCTAACTTCTATTCTTCTTTAGGCTGAGGGAAACACAAACACAGAAATCCCCCAAAATTTATGTGTGAAGAAGATTCTAGAAATCCCCCCCTGTTCAATATCAGAAACCAAAGCTTTACTTTCCCCTCAAATTTCCTGTGATTTCTTTTTGAAAACCTACATGTAAAAATTTGGTGGGGTGGGAATTACTGAATAACATCTGTCAATCTTGAAACTTCAAAGAGGTGGTGAAAAACCCTAACAATAGCAAACTGGGTTAAAAGGGAGCTTTGGGATGTGGTTTTATCTAAACAGGAGCCACCCACACCCTCTTGCAGTATTAACCCTCGGGCTGCTACTAGAAAAACCAACAGCTGTAGGTGGAGGCGCAAACCGGCATCTCCTTTACTCAGAGATTAGCAGGGGGCATTTCTTTTGGCCAACCCCTAAATATACAAAAACTCAGAAATCAAATACTGAGTATGAGCCTGGCTATGCGCTAACAGTTTTATATAATATTTGTATTTAATTGACAGAAAAACCCTATGAGGTGGATACTACAATGATTATAAGCCCCATTTCACAGATGAGAAAGCTAAGGTTTGCATGGATTAAATGATTTCCCAAGATCAGACATTTCGGTAACAGCAAAGCTAATATTTGAAATGAACTGTCTGATTGGAGACAATTAATCCTGCTCTTAATCCCATGCTATGTTGTCTTTACACTTCATAATGGTGAGAGCCAATTAAGAATGACTTTATAAAACCTCTCAACTTGCTAAATTGGTTGCCTTCATTGGGGCTTGTCGATCAATCAAGTGGTACTGGCCATTCTTAGATAATGCACCCCAAAGGGCATGTTCTAGATGTGCAGACCATCCTCTTTGGTTCCTAACTAAGAACCACAGTTGAGTAGTGTCCCTGCAAATATGTGTCTTTTCCCTGCCTGGGAAGAAAAGTCTTACGTGAGGAAGAACCCTAAAATCTCTCTTGTCAGAGTCTACCCCAGGGCCTACAATATAGGACGCTCAAGATATAATTGCCGAATGTCCACAATAGCCAAACTGTGGAAAGAGCCAAGATGTCCATCGACAGATGAATGGATAAAGAAGAAGTGGTATATATACACAATGGAATATTATGCAGCCATCAAAAGGAATGAGATCTTGCCATTTGCAACGACGTGGATGGAACTGGAGGGTGTTATGCTGAGTGAAATGAGTCAGTCAGAGAAAGACATGTATCATATGACCTCACTGATATGAGGAATTCTTAATCTCAGGAAACAAACTGAGGGTTGCTGGAGTGGTGGGGGGTGGGAGGGATGGGGTGGCTGGGTGATAGACATTGGGGAGGGTATGTGCTATGGTGAGCACTGTGAATTGTACAAGACTGATGAATCACGGATCTGTACTTCTGAAACAAATAATGCAATATATGTTAAAAAAAAGAAGAGGAAGAAGAAGATAGCAGGAGGGGAAGAATGAAGGGGAGTAAGTCGGAGGGGGAGACGAACCATGAGAGACGATGGACTCTGAAAAACAAACTGAGGGTTCTAGAGGGGAGGGGGATGGGGGGATGGGTTAGCCTGGTGATGGGTATTAAAGAGGGCACATTCTGCGTGGAGCACTGGGTGTTATGCACAAACAATGAATCGTGGAACACTACATCAAAAACTAATGATGTAATGTATGGTGGTTAACATAACAATAAAAAAATTATTAAAAAAAAAAAGATGTAATTGCCGAACCATGGAATTTTTACATAAACAGTTTCCTGGATGTCAGGTAACTAGCATTCAAGACTTGATCTTCACATTATGCTCCCTCGCGTTCCATGACATTGAGTCGGACACAGGTATTCTCCACTTGTTAGAAGTTCCTGTTAAGCCACTTGCTCTTATAAAACACTTATATTAGTACCTGTTTTTGCTAACGGCAAGAAATC